CCCCTGTGCATATACTGCTCTGCAAGCAACTCGTCCATTTTCAACTTTCGCCCCTCCCATCTCGACACCTGCTTCGCCCACAATGGGCGTGTCTACCTCACTTCAATGGCCGAGGACTTGCACACCCCTCCTCAGCTTTTGCCGGTTTGGCTCCGCCCAGCTCTCACCACGCTCCGCCCACACGGGTGTGCCTCGTACTTCTCAACAGGTGACCCACCGCTGACATTAATCCACTTTTTCCAATGTCTGGAGTGCTCTGCTAGCGTTTACGAATTTTTTAGTCTGGCTCCGCCCACCCCCACGCTCCAACCACAGCGGATGTGCCTCGCACTTCTCAACCGGTGACCCATCACCAACATTAATCGACTTTTTCCAGGTGTCTGGAGTGATCTGGAACCGTTTTACGAATTTGCCCACTGTGGGCGGGGCTTACCATGGGTTACGGTTGCTCTTTACATCTTGTCACATGCCCTACCCATCCCGACCTTGACCCCACCTCTCCAAGTTGTTCTTCTGGTAGAACCGAATTTCCGGACAGACAAACAAACAAACAAACAAACAGACGAAGCAAATTATATATAGTGGGTGATAACGTCCCAATGAGCGGGCGGTGTCAAGGGAGCGGAATGAGCTCGCCTCCGACTGTATTGCCCTAGCAATGGCGATCGGTTAGCGATCGTTTTTGGGAGATAACAAACTAAGGAGCCGCCGCTGGTGAGTACATTTCATTCCGCATGTTTTCTGGCTCGACTAATTGCGACGTTATCAACGGTATAATATCAACCTCTTTCAGAGCGAATTAATGCAATAGAAAGTCACTCAAAGAAAACATTTTAAATCCAAGAATCAAAAATGAATCACAAGATAAGAAGATTTACAGAACAATATAATGAGAGAATGGAGAAGATTTCAAAAATTATTTGTAAGAAACAACCCTGAAATGGGAAAAAACCAAAGAAGCAAAGGCTAATCATCGGTTGAAAGGGAGACGTACATCACAACTGAAGACGCCGAAGAACGACGAAGGCTTGGATAGGGTAACCAAGTGAAAGCCAAAAAATGAGGACAGTAAAAATATAACACGGCCACGGTTGGACAGACAGGTACCGGCTTATTATTATCGTCAGTGAAAAAGAAATCCATTCAATCCAACACGACTTGCGATTTCTAAAAAACAACAACAACTAACCAACAATGTCATCACCTAATTTCAATTGTCAATGCCTACGTTACAATTGAGTACTATGAGGGTGGAACGGTTGGTGGTGAGGCATTCTCCTTATTTTCCCGTCTGAAATTGATTCAATTCGGTGCCATCAAAGTGCATTAAAGGCAGTGGGCACGATGGCTCGGGGCGGGCGGCTGTCACCAACGTCATTCGTGGAAAAGCTGAGTGAGTGTGGCCAATAACCTCTCGCAGCCCTTTCACCAGTGACGCTGGCAACAACTGCCCGCCTCCAGCAAAATGCCCAACATTTCGAAAAAATAAAATAAAAACAGTAACGAGACAGGCGATGAACGTGAAAATGTTGGCTCACCCTCGTTGTTCTTCTAATTGCAGCTCTTCCTGTTGAAGTCGAAGTTTCAACTTGGCTTCCGCTAACGTGGCCTTTTTCACCTCATACCATTCGGAGCAACTCTTTGTCCGAAGACGGGCTGATGGTCGGACTACGGGTAATCGAGCTACAATAAGCTCTAGTTAACAACGGTGAAATCTCAAGAAGCTGAATTCTTCAGGAAAATCCAGAAAAGGGGAATACTAACCCGCATAAGTCTCGCCATCTTTAGGACCTAGATTCCCTAAACATTTATATACTAGGAATATATAATTATATATATATATATATATATATATATATATATATATATATATATATATATATATATATATATATATATATATATATATATATATATATATATATATATATATATATCCATAAACCCGAACAAGCGTAAAAAAAGAATAAAGCTCTCGGCGCTGATTGACCTTTTCGGGATGCGGCTCGCACTGTACTTCCCAATAAAAAACCTATTGGTCTCTTGAATATGACATTATCCACACAATAGCTCACGGAGACCCGTGTTGTACAAATCAAGCGTCTCTACACCTCTAGAGTCCGATGCCAATTTACTGGCTTTAAAGGGAGTAAAGCTGCGTTCATACTTTGGACTAATAGAGTCCACCAGCGTTTCGAGCGTGCGGCAGCGTCTACCAGCGCCTTGAGGCCTAGAGAACTATAGGTATCGATCTATGCCCGACTTCCAGCGTTCAGCGCGTCTACCAGCGTCTGCGAGAGGAGAGCATGGCCGCGGCAGCAGACAGCTTGTACCCCTCCTGTCGCGCCATACTGTCTACCAGGAGTCTACTGCTATCAAGGACTATCTTCCCATGCTCTACCAGCTACCTGCTACCGTCCTATCGGGCCATACTCTCTACCAACAGTCTGCTACCCTCCTATCTCCCCATGCTCTATCACTGTCTGCTAACCTCCTGTTGTGCCATACTCTCCTCTCTCGGACACTGGTGCATCTGGTAGACGGTGGTAGACGCTGGAGAACGCTGACAGACGCTGGCAGACGCTAGATCGATATTGATACTTGTCGCTGACGCCGCCGGGCGCTCGGAATGCTGGTTGACGCTATTGGTCGCTGGTGGACGCTGCCGCAGACTATGAACGCAGCCTAAGAGTCAGTTTGGTGGAGAACCAATGCAGAAATAGACCCCTGGATCACGAGTGACAGGCGCCAGTTGTTAGCACAACACCTCTGCCCCATAACAATACATATGCAAAATTAACAGTTTCATTCACCCTTAAGTCAAAATAGGCAACATAACCAATATCGAAATCTTACCAGTTCACTATTCATCATCACTTCATGGTAAAGGTGAGCGCGCTCATCCTCATTCTCCGCTGTTACGTCCTCATCGAGGCCATATTCCTTTAGATATAGACGCTCATCTCTCTTCTCCGAACCAACGCGTTCCATAACGCTTCTGGAACGAATGAAACTAAAGTAAACAAAACATCAATGATGACAAAATGCTGGGTGCACCATTAATTTGACCACACTTTACCCCTGTATGAAACATGCCTAAACAAACCTGTAGAGCGCCAGACTGCCTTCGCGCGGGAAAATCCGAACGAAACCACCTCGCCGAGACATTTCGGCCCTTGCTCGACGACATATAAAACGCATACTCGGGTCGTTACCTCCTGGCATGGTGGTGAATGCATTCCGCATAGGACGCCTCCGCTGAAACCATGTATCATGTGTACGAGCTGATGAAGATAAGCAGTCTTGTTCGCTGCGAATGACGGGGCGTGTCAGGGGAGGAAGTGGCGGCAGGGCTCGGCCAACCCATTCTAAACTATTTGCGTTAGCAAGCGACCACAAGTAGTGGAAAACTGGCTGCCGCCGCGCCAAACCCAGCCCCTTGACAGGCCCAGCATCCGCAGCTAACAAGACTGTACTTGACTATGGAACCCCTCGTGAGTTACCTTTGTAGTGATGCCGCGTTTTGTCGGACTTATTATTTTCCTATTTTTCTCCGACATCAACTCTGCTTCGTCTGAGTCTATTATAAAACAACGGATCAATCGAGTGACTCAACCAGGAGAAGTGAAACCTACCGTAGCTTTCATCCCTGACTGCTCGAACTGTTTCAATTCCTGCAAGCTTCCGATTCACTAAAGGCACACATGCGAGGTTAAACAGGTCGCATATAAGTCTTGTCTTCACTAGGGAGTCCAAGGGAGCATCACTGAAATAAAAAGGATAAAGGATAAAGTCTTCGCCGTTGATCAATCCCTTTGTGGGATGCGGCACGCATTCTACTTCCATTCAGAATCGTAGTGGCTTATTGAATGCGATGTGGCCTATACAATGACTTGCGGGGGCCAGCCGATGTACAAGTCAGTGTTCTTATCGACCAGGATCGACCTTCTCTTAATCTTGGCATTGTTGTATCTTCAAGCAGGTGGATAGTTTGAGCCGTCCAAGATTTTTATAATTTATTGGCCAACGTTTCGGCTTCCTCGCCTTTGTCAGGGCGTGAAAGAGATCAAAACAGTTGTCCCCTCGAACGCCTTCACAAGAACTTAGGACAATTTCTCCTAGCAACCACCCAACGGCATCGATCGATAAGTGTGAGTTGGCTTACCTTGATCTCAGCCGCGATGACGTGAGATCGACCACCCAAGCTGCAGTACTACTAAGTGAGCTGCCACCTCCACTCCGCGACCTCGACCTCATGTAGATCAAAAACCACAAAGGTCGGCAACGAGCGCGTTGTCTTAAGTTCTTGTGGAGGCGTTCGAGGGACAATCTCAATTGTTTTTGGACTCTTTCAGGCCCTGACGAAGGCGAGGAAGCCGAAACGTTGGCCAATAAATTATAAAAATCTTGAATGGCTCAACTTATCCACTTGCTTGAAATGTTCTTATGATCCCAAACGAATCTGGTACGAATTTCCCAGGGAAGAAGGCTTGGTTTGTGTGGGCGGGAGCCGTTCTGGGATCTGATTTCCGGGCCGTGCGCGTTAACCACTACCACTTGCCACTACAACACTCCGCCTTTTGAAAGAAAGCAGAGAAGAAACGCAGCATAAATAATTATTCCAGCAATTCGCCAAAAGATTCCCCCAATTCACGAGTCATGGCACAGGCAACTCCGCAGTGAAAAACCGCTCACAAGCAAAAGCAACTCGAGGAACTGATGTAACTCACCACGAGAGGCTAGGAGACAAATTGACCTCGAGGAGCCAAGGCTTGAGCTCTGCATCGACGAGAATATCGAACCCGAACAGTTCGAAATTGGTCCCTACGTATGGGGTTGCAGTGCGACATGCTGACGTGATGCGAGTTTGCACAGAGAAGTAGGCTCTTTATTATAATATCCTCGATTCGCAACATTAACACTGAAAACACTACATTAACACTGAAAGCAGAACATACTCCTAGATCATGAACAGCAGTGGGTTGCAAACGAACAGAGCGCTCCGCCCCTTCACCCTAGAAGGGGATGAATCCAGGATTAACTTACATCACTGAAAACTATGTAAAACTCGAACTCTTTGGATCACTCTTTACCACGGACCCCTATCTGAGAAGAATCGTCTACATAGGTGGAATCGCGTTACGAGCCTTCCCCTGTGGATAACTTTAACACCCTCCGAATATTGGATAGGCACGGGAGAAAGCTTCTCGCCAGCCCCACGGGCGCCTGCTCCAAAACACATAAAATCCTGAACTTGTTGGAAACTTTCTTCCAGGGGCAGTTTGGTCTGCCGAACACAAGAGAGAAAGTCGCTAAACAAGAACACCCTTAGTGTATATTCCGCCGTTTCCGTAACAGCTGTTGTACAGCGAATGCCAGGCTTTTTCGCTCTTAACGGATGCTATATTCGTATTCAGAGATTCAAAATGCTCAACACTGCATTTCGCACTCCGAAAGTTATCACAAAGATGCTGGGTTATGAGTGAAGATCAGACCCCAGACGGGACTCGAACCCGTTTCTCATTCCTACCGAGCGAGTATTTTCACCATTACACCACCGGAGCCGCTCTCACCCTCTCAGCTCGAAGGCTTTTGTGCCATAGCTTTGGAAAAAAGCAAGTGAGCTCAGAGGGTAAGAGCGGCCCCAAAGCTTGGTTTGCACACTAGCGCCGTAAGCGGAATATGCGTGTTCGAGCCCCGTCTCGGGTCTGACTTTCCCCATAACTCAGCGTTCTTCTGATAGCAGTCGTCATAATGCAACCAGTTCCAAACACTGGCAGAACCAGTTGTCCGAATCAACTCCCACGGTCGAGTTCTGAAGAAAAAAAAAACGAGCTCCAATCTCGTAACGAGAAAAAAAGACAACCTCAAAAAAACCTCCAAAAAGATTACTAAACAATGACGAAGTCGACGCTCCCACAACATCTTCATACTACGAATAAAACTCACTTTTTGAGTCAATTCTATCCTTTTCCAAGTGACGTAACAAAGCACCCAGAGTCCACTTGTGTCCAAAATCTTCACTTGCCATGCTTTCATTTCTGAATAAACTTAGGACTAACCAAAGAATCAGAACCGGCGCACTACTATTCATCTAATTATAAAGCTCACCGGACAAAATTCGAGTTATTCTTATTAATAGAATAGTTCGTTAGGTGAACAAATGCATCTCGGGAGTCCACTTCACTGCGATACTTCTCTGATGCGACCCTAAAAGGCCAGATCGACTGTTCCAGTAGGACATATTCATTGTATCAAAAATTATGCATCTAATGAAGAATCGCAAACCGTGTAAGCCCCTCTGAATAAACATAAACGATCAAAGGGTAAAAAGAAGTGACAGCAACGTAGATTCGAAGGTCAAATTTATGACCATTTACTAGTAATGGATTTTCCACATAACGTGAAACCAGCAACGTATCGGCTCGGGGAATTTCTTCTGCCTGAAGGTTTCAACTATTACAAGTCAGCAGATGTAAGCTACAGGGGAGTCGAGAAGAAATTACGGCGCAGTTCGGAGAAAAAAAGGGGGTGGAGTTGCCTTTTCGCTGCTCCCTGTTGAGGTGTCGAGCCATGTGGAGACCTGTGAAGTTCTGTGAAGCTAGGAAACTACCAGCCAAAGTTTGTAGAGATCAAGATCTTTTGAAACAACAAAATACCATAAAAATATCATTTATGATGCTGGCTCGACGAGCTCGCTCCAGATTCGGAAGAGTTCACCGGTTTTTTTTTACCAGAACAAGAGACATGTAGGAACCAGCGAAGCAGCGAAATGCCCCCCCCCTGTTTCCGAACTGCGCCCGAGGCAATCTACGCCATTCCGTAGACCCCTAAATGCAAGCTCTAAAGCTGAATATAATAGCGGAAAATTTTACCGTGCTGGCGAAAAATATGCCCTGTCCTCGTGATGAGCTCACAGGCTTCACAATGAATGTAAAATCTGTCATAGAGTGCTCCATGGCCGTTTCCAAAAGCGATGCATCTCGAGGTGTGACGAAAAATTCCGGAATCTGACACAGTTTTATATGAAAGAGCTTTCTATTATAAAAAGCAAATTAAAAGGGCAGAGCAAATTAAAAGGCAACATGTATCAGCTTCAGCTACAGAAGCTTTGACAAATGCAGTCAATACCAACAAGTAAAGCTCACAAAGCTGAATGCGTCACCAAATATGGCAGCAGATCGCGCGATATTATCGTACAGTTTGTCTTTTCGAGTGAGTTCGGTGGACCTTGGGAACTGATTAAGGCGTTGCCTGCAAGATTTAAGAAGGTTAAACACCGGCTGATCAAAAGATGAACAAGAAAAAAAAGGAAAAAACATTAAAACAAAAGAAAGACAAAGGCTCCCCACTTCTACACTGTAAACAGCTCTTCGAAATACCGTAGCACAAAAAAAACTTACCAGGGTTGAATATTCCGCATCTGTGTTGCCCGCATTGCAGAACCACACCAGAGGATGTTGAATGACGGATTTTTCCGAGAACACTAAAACCTCGATGCTATGAGTATTACGTTGATAATTAGTCAAGTGCATTAGGTTCATGCGAAGCAGAAAGGGGGAAAAGTGTAGAACAGCATGAATGAGTACTTGAGTGAAGCCGTGACTATGCAGAACCGTCTTCACAAGTTTGGTGTCGCTCTTCACCTTTAAAAAATTATGTGAAAATAAAAGATAATTATAATAAAATGCAATGCAAGCACGTCTCTTCACCACGCAGCAATATTAAACTAACCATTTTGAAAGCCAAATTAAAGTTTTCGCCTGTCTGCGTATATTTATCTCGTACTTCTGCAGCTGCCATTCGGCCGATATGGTTCAGGCTGTCTGGTGTGAAGGTGAGGTACTGAAATATTAAGCGCTAGATCAACAGTCTACAGCCAAGATCCCTGCAAACGATAGGGCGTGTGACGCGGCGCGTATTAGAGCGCAGCCAGGGCGACCTTGTTCCAATAGTGATGCCATCCCAAGCCCGCTACAACTGGTGGGAAATCTGGCTTGGCAGCGCTACAAGCCATGCCCTGTATTACGCCCTGTCAATTGTACGGATCATGACTATAGCTGAG